AATGATTAATTATTTAAAATTGCCCACTCCAGAGTAGAAGCGGGTCCAATCTCCCTAAAGGGGCTGGATTTTAGAGACCCGGCTGGGCATTTAGTCTAAAAAAGAGCTTATTTTTGTTGAACAAAAAAGATCAATTCCGTTAAATAATCTCACGAATACATAGAAATTCAGCTAATATTGGATACATTTTCATACTTTTCTCTTGTAGTGTGCTCATGTGCATACCTGCTGCTTCGTGGGAAGGTTTTTCACACTGTCAGGTTTGAAGTAAGTAAAATCCATCATGGCCTGAAAAAGAGAAACGGCCTTCTCAGAGTGACCGGACTGCCGCAGGAAATGACACTGCTGGATGAAGATATCTGGACACAAAATAAAACAAACACCCATGGTCACAATAGTGGAAAAAAAAACACTTAGTCACAGATAGTAATGTTTTACCCAGCATGTCGTCCTCGATTCCAGGCAAAGCTGGGTGAGACACCATGCTGCCGTCTCTCACAGAGCTGAGCGTGCTCAAACACTTTCCATATGATGAGTTGACCTTTGTCACTGTGAAGCTGCTGAAGTAGCTTTGAGTAAAAAGTAGATACTTCTTCCACAAAGGGGCACTGTTTGGGTGGAGGAACACCTAAAATATAGTAAAACTCCAATTAGCATTACCCAAGTGTTTCTACGTCTCTGGAGTTAGACTGATTTGTCTAAAGCTGTCAGTTATTGTAAACAAAAAAAAACAATTAAAAAAAAAAGTAAATGAAACCACAAAATAAACTCACCAGTTTCTTCCATTCTTTAGCCAAAGCGGAGGGTTCCCAAAGCTCCTGGCAGATCCGGAGCCTCTCAAGGTGAAGAGCGATGCAGGTGGGGTTGGTCTCCACGGCTCTGTCTGCAATGCTCAGCTTTTTCTCCAGGATCGCCCTGTAGGAGGACTTACGTCGCTCTGCTAAATCAGCTCCCTGCTGCTCCTCATCCCCTCTAAATGCAGCTGTACTCAACTCATCCTAAGAGGACAGAAGCAGACATTCAGAAGCAGTAGTAAATACATAAAAAACAATACCTTTACATCCACATTTCATCTTTTGCAGGCCTTATCAAACTAAGCCTTTAAGAGCTCCAAAAATTCATTGAAGTGCTGCTTTAAAGCCAGAATAAATGTTGCATTATTACAGAAACTTCTCACAACACAGAAAACAATCAGCTGTCTAAGCAAAATTTGGTTCACTTTCAAATTAGAAGAGTCTTTTGGTGAATATGAATTCCTATTTTAAAACCTGATTTAACAGATTTAATGGAGATCTTCCTAAATTAGTATAATTGGATTCACTTCCATTCAGCTCAAAGCCCAACAATGCCTCCTTTACCTGGTATCTAATGAATTGTATCCACAGCTGTGTGTCTGTTGGCTGCTCTCTGAGCCGCCGGTTAAACTCCTCGGTCCGTCCAATCGCATAACCTGACTTTTCCTCTGTTTCTGTTTCCTGCTTCTGGTCAACCTGCAGTCCCTTCCCCTGCAGCCAGAGGGCAGTGGAGGAATCGTACACGCCTAGGGGATTTACTGATGTCTCTGCTTTGTCACCTGATTTTAAACATTTAAGACGAGAAGAAACAACATTTAAAGCAATATTTTAGTGCCCTTAAGTCTAAATATTTAGCCCGTACTTATATTACAATGAAAACTTCAGTCGGATCTGCTGCAAGTGTCAACATCATTAAACCATTACCTGACTTTCCCATGCTCTCCTGTTCAGCATCACCCAGAGGGAGGAAAGAACTTGAGTTGGTTGCATCACTACTTTCTGGAGTGACAGAAATGACAGAAACGGGAGCCTCACTCCGCAGCAGCTTTCGAGTGGCTACTGAAAAGTATCTTTCATCTTGGTTCCCACTGTTGGCTTTCTTCTTCTTCTTCTTTGTCTCAGATTCCTCCCAGCTGACTCCCTGCCGGAGAAAGTCCAGACCCAAAGTGGAGCTTCCTTTTCTCTTATACCTGAGTGGGGGGGGGGACAGGCACAAATGAGTTGAGAAAGAAGAATGAACTTTAGTTTATAATCTGATAATATTTCATTTCTTCAAATTGACTTTTTAGTTTTAGTTCAGTCTTTGATCGATTTTAGTTGTTGAACATCTGCAGAATTATCCTTCTGGGTAGCTTTGGCAAAAGGATGCTCATTTCCTCTTAAAATGTATGTCTTTTCTATCCACTGTTGCTGAATGCATGCTTGGAATGAGAGATCGCTGCAGAGTCAAGTGATTGTTTACTGTCACCAGATGTTTATCAAATCCTGTGGAGTCAGTGACTCAGTGCAATCAGCCGAGTTTCCTTAGATAGAAAATTTCTAATCAATCTGTCATAATGATTAGACTGAATTGTTTTTAAAAGTGACCCGAGATTAAATGTGTTTTAGATTGCTTCTATGTAAGCTGAATTTAATTTAATGTTTATAGCTGTTAAGAAATGACAAACCAGGTCCAGGAATTTAACATATTTTTATCTATGTTTAATCATTTCTTAAAGCTAGTCCCAGTGCCCCGAATCATGTTATATCAAAGTACATATATTAATGTTCACTATGAATTACAATTTACAGCGTTGACTTTATACATACAGAACTTGAAAAAAAAAAACTATAAGACGGTAGATGTGTCTAGTATATTTACACCCAGATGTACACCAAGCCAAATTCTTTGTAAGTGCAAACCTACTTTGCAATAAATCTGATTCTGTTGTACAGAGAAGGTTGGTGAACAAAACTGGGAAATAGACAACTGGGAAAGGAATGTAATCTGGAAATAAAAATGTTCATCCATGCTTTATTTTGTTTGTTAATATGTGGATCTGAAAATGTTGGAATTGACTTTCAAGAAACATCTTCAGGAAAATGTAGAAAGCAAAATTAAAATGTTAAAACTAAAGAATTTATTTTATATTATGAAGAAGTGTTAGTCACATATTATGGCCACAAGGTGAGAATTAAAGTTCTATTTAATATCTTTGGAGAATGATTGTGCTACCTTGCTACATCTCCTCTGTACAGGGACTTATAAGTCCAATTGGCTGCATCCGGTTTACAGTCCACACAGAATAGATGCTCCGTAGGTGACTGCAGATCATCCAACCAGGAAAAACGAGTTCCTAACAAAACCGGCTGCTCCCTGCATGATCAAACATAAAAAATACATATAAACAAAATGAAAGAAAGTTTTTTCTAAAAAGTTTTTTACTTTTAAAAAAATAGAAATATTTCTACTCACCTTATCCCCTTCTCTTCTTTTATGAGATCGCTGGGATAGATGGTTTCAGAGTCTGACCCATTCTTCTTTTTATGACTTTTCTTCTTTTTCCTCTTTTTTTCACTTTTCTTTTTCTTCTTCCTTGATGGTCCATCACCCCTCTCCTCCTCGTCAGAAGACGCATCATCCTTTTCAACACTGCAAATCAAAGAACAGTCTGTACCTTTCTAATTTTCTATGCAGTATTTCTAGATCTTTGTTGGACTAACAGAATAATTTCAAAGATGTCCCTTAAGAGATATCTTAGAAAGATTGCCTTCTATAATTGGAGAAAAACAAAAATCCTACCTTTCCTCCCTCTGGTTTGGCTTCTCTAAAAACCGATTGTGAAGGGAAAGAGCATCTCCAGTCTGAAAGCTCTTATTGTTAAGCCAGTCTAATTCTGGAAGGAATGAATAAATTGGTTAGATGATTTCAAAACTTCTTGGATCTAACAAATGTAAGCAGCTTAAAACATTTTTAAAGGCACGAAATACCAGTTTGAAAATTATACTCTTAAATATAACGTGTTTTTTTATTATTATTAGTCTCCTAAAAGGTTTATTGCATGTGTAGCTAGGTTCATATCAGAGTTCTTAAATTGACTGAAAATCCTTTCATATTTAATGCAGATTTTTAAAAAGAAACCTCGAGAAGAAACTGGTATTAAATAGATCCGAAGAGAGTTAACACTTAAGTAGTTGAGGCTATGCTGTCTTACGTAGCTTTCACAAAAAATGGAAACTAAATCTAATTCACAGACTAAATGACAATAACTCGGACAAATTGTGTTAAAACATGTTAGCGGGATATGTGAAAGCACCTTTGGATGATGATTCTTCAACTCTGTTTTTCGAGACTTCGGCAAAGGCTGGAAATAGAGCCATATTTAAGCGTCGCACAAATGTCGGAGGTAAATAGTCGCAAAAATATTACGTCATATGACGGGCGTTTCATAGGACTCAAAAATACAAAAAATATATAAACTCATACAAAATAATGCAGGCAAAATCACAGAATACATATGCGCAAAGTTATTATAAATATCGTCTTAAATGGATAAAGCAGCCCATATAATGCAATACAAATCCATTAATAACACAATAATAACGTAAAATACATAGGGAAAATGTTACATAAAAAAACAGTAAAAGAAAAAAATATATATTTGTCTATATATATATATATATATATATATATATATATATATATATATATATATATATATATATATATATATATATATATATATTTTTTTTTTTTACTCTTCACTATTATGGTATTGTTATACATTTATCTAAGGTCCACATCTGTGTGACCATTTTTTCTATAATCTTTTGGCTGCTGTAAACCCAAGAATTTCCCCATTGTGGGACAATAAAGGGATTTTTCTATTCTATTATATTGTATTCTATTTCATTCTATTCTAATTCATTGCTATGGCAATAAATGAACTGGGCATTTTGTTGGAATATGTATTACCTTTTTCCCCTTTCCCTACACATTTACATTCCCCACTACGAAAAGATAAATACAAGGAAAAAACACCAGAGATTTTGGTTTGTTTGGGTTAAATAAAAAAAAAAAAAGCAACGTAACCTGGGACCTGCAGATCCCTCCAATCAAACTTTGTTGGGATTTAAACTAACCAATTAGATGTTGTTTTCAGTTTGATTGAAGTCTGATGTATCCAATCAGATGTACCTAGTAGGTAACCATTGGTAACGTTCCAACCTCCTCTGTTTATATTTATCTACGGGAACTGCAGAGCAGGTAAAACTGGCGCGCAGATCTTTGTGCGAGTAAAGCGTCTTTATCTCAATAAAAATGAGGGAAATTGTCCACCTTCAAGCTGGCCAATGCGGCAACCAGATTGGAGCAAAGGTTAGAACACTTTTATAAGTAAAAGTGAGGTTTACATTTGTAGGGACACTGTCTGAAAAGTTGAATTTAGTTTTTGTGGGCTGCTAAATTAGAGTTAGTCACGTAGCTGTTTGCTAGAAAAGAAAGAAACTATTGCTGTTGGTTTCTTTTACTTTGTATAAGTCTCACTAATGATAAATCAGTTGATTGAGTTTTTTTTTTCATTCTGTGACTTTTGTGACTGTAGTTTTGGGAGGTGATAAGTGATGAGCACGGCATTGATCCAACTGGGGCATACCACGGAGACAGCGACTTGCAGTTAGACCGGATCAATGTGTATTACAACGAGGCATCGGGTTTGTTTCTACTTTGCTTCACTTTCGCATGCTTTTCTGTAAAGAAAAGGAAATACATTTATCGTATTCCATCAGATCGCTTTCATATCGCCAACTTAGAAGTCAATGGTTGCTAAGGAACGGTTTCCATGTCGCCCAAACTCCCCATTGGCTCCCAAACATGTGGGAAATATGAGATGACTGCTTTTGATGGGGAATATATTTAGTTCTCTTACCAATGTGCAGCAATTTGTTTTCATGTAACATCTGAATTGGGATTCTTGACAGTCATGTTGGTTTTTCTTTTGTCAGGCAGATACATAATGTAAGTGTTCTTATGCAATTAATAACTATCCACCCCTGCTTTATGTACCAGGTGGAAAGTATGTCCCCCGCGCTGTGCTGGTGGACCTGGAGCCAGGAACTATGGACTCTGTCCGGTCTGGTCCCTTTGGTCAGGTGTTTAGACCTGATAATTTTGTTTTTGGTGAGTATACCATTGTAAACTTTGTGTTCTGACCTAAAATAAATCTGCTTTATATGACTTTCCCACAAAATTGAACCATTAATTTATCTGACAGAGCCTGCATGTTAATGTGAAGTATAATGTGACTGGATTATCAATTAGGTTGAAAAAATATTTAATTTCAAATTATTAACTTAATAATTTAGTGTTGAATGCTGTGCTAGATAGAACCTGAGCACTTATGCAGGCATTCTATTTGTCAACACAAAGGTTTCTTGCAGACTTTACCCAAAAAGTGAACCTGAGTTCATTTGAGTTTTAAAGATATTGTTGAGGATTTTTGCTGGTTTGTGAAAAGACCCTCCCTCTCGACTTTAAATCCAACCCTGTAACCGTGTCCAAGAGGGAACACCTATTAAACGTGTGTGAGAGCGTGCAGGAGCCCATTTCTCCATGTGCACGCCCTGTTTAAAAGTTGCTGTTTCCATCGCTCAAACAAGCTTAATTTCCAAAAGAAGATTTGCAATTTTTTCACTATGTCAGACTCACCACCGGTAAGTGGAAATTGGGGCGAGCAAGTAGGTAGGCCTTACGTAAACATATCATCAGAATGATTGACAGTTCGGAAGACCACTTATTTTGATGATCCACCCGGAAAAAGAACATCCTCCACTACACCTTAAGTAATATAAAAAAGATGTATTCATATAAAATATCAATCTTTTCACAGTTGACCTCACCTATGTCTATCAGCTGCTGAATTTATCTCTCAATAAAGAATTTGACTTATAATAAAGTAAGCTGACTTTTTCTCTTTTTTTTTTTTCCTTTTGCATGATGTATTGATTTGTAACAGGCCAGAGTGGTGCGGGTAATAACTGGGCTAAAGGCCACTACACTGAAGGAGCTGAGCTGGTGGACTCGGTCCTGGATGTGGTGAGGAAAGAGTCGGAGAGCTGCGACTGCCTGCAGGGCTTCCAGCTGACTCACTCCCTTGGAGGAGGCACTGGATCTGGCATGGGAACGCTTCTAATCAGCAAGATCAGAGAGGAGTACCCAGACCGCATCATGAACACTTTCAGCGTTGTGCCATCGCCTAAGGTTTATATCCTGCATTCAAATATGTCCTGATATGAAGCTTTGCCCTACAGCTGCTTCCTTCAAATCTTAACCTCGGTTCCATTGTCCTCTTTGTGTCGTCTTTTATTCCTCTTTCTGTGGCAGGTTTCAGACACTGTGGTGGAGCCCTATAATGCCACCCTGTCTGTCCACCAGCTGGTTGAGAACACTGATGAGACCTACTGCATTGACAACGAGGCCCTGTATGACATCTGCTTCCGTACATTGAAGCTCACCACACCCACCTACGGTGATCTGAACCACCTGGTTTCAGCCACCATGAGTGGCGTAACCACCTGTCTGCGCTTCCCTGGCCAGCTTAACGCCGATCTGAGGAAACTCGCTGTCAACATGGTGCCGTTCCCTAGGTTACACTTCTTCATGCCAGGCTTTGCCCCCCTGACGAGCCGTGGCAGCCAGCAGTACAGGTGAGGAGGCCATCTCACCATTAGGGTTGGGCTTTAATTTGAACAATTCCGGTTCTTATTGATTCCGGTTCCTGTAAGAAGAATCGTAAAAGTTTGCATGTTATAAATAAACTGGCTAATCAGAGTTCTGTCTGGATGAAATGGTCTGAACTTGTCAATAAAATTCCTTTAACGTCCAAATTAGTTTGAGTGTTAATATAAATTATCATATAGTTATTTTCAACCAATATATAAATATTAAACCTATTAACTTTAATATATATTATGGATTTTCCCAGAGTTGCATTTTCACTTTGAGCTTCAGTCTCTAAAACTTCATTAAAACACTTTAGATATATCAAGTATTTTAAAATATTTTTATTTACCTGATTTTAATTATGGTGTGGTGCTAGGTTGAGTTTCTGAGATGGAGAAAAAAGCAAGAAAGCAGGGTTTATCTCCTCAGCCTCATTTACTTAGTTCCACTTAACTGATTGTGAAAGTATTGGTGTTTGCTTTTTGTGGAAAGATGAACAATCAGATTTCGCACTCTGTTGTTCAGTTAGAAGGTTTTATCATATGAAACACATTCCAAATGAACTGTGCTAAATAGCTTTTTACTCTATTCAGATCATGGAGGAAACAGGGTGGGTATCTTTTAAGAGGTAAAGTAGGAGGAAGAAAGTATAAAAAAGGCTCCACTCTCCCTCTAGAAGCCGTGTTATGATTTAAGAGGAGGAATTTCTGCAGGAAGATCCATCTTAGCACAACACTGTTGCAGCAGGTCAAAGATCAGGCTCTCATGTTGTGTTCAGTGGTGTTGAGTCATGTCAGCAATGCGGCATTCTTTGCATTATATAATTCCATTGCTATTGTGGCAGGTAGCCAGCTGGTCATTTCTTTAATTAAATGGAAACATTTTTGAATTCTGAAGCACAGACAGAAGGTTATCCACATACTCCTGTGGATTCATCTTTGCTGATATTGGGCACCTTCTATTTTACATCTGCGGAATAGGCATTGAAAATAAAATGTTAACAATTCCAGGAGAATTGAAAAGTTGATCAATGCTTAACCCTACCCACCATCCACCATATTAAAGTCGGTCCCACACCTTAAAAAAATTAACTTACATTTTCCTTTTATGTTTTCTAGGGCGCTGACGGTTCCCGAGCTCACCTTGCAGATGTTCGACGCCAAAAACATGATGGCAGCCTGTGATCCACGGCATGGCCGTTACCTCACAGTCGCTGCCATCTTCCGAGGCCGCATGTCCATGAAGGAAGTGGATGAGCAGATGCTGAACGTGCAAAACAAAAACAGCAGCTACTTTGTAGAGTGGATCCCCAACAACGTTAAGACGGCAGTCTGTGACATCCCGCCACGCGGCCTCAAGATGGCCGCCACTTTCATTGGGAACAGCACAGCCATTCAGGAGCTGTTCAAGCGCATCTCAGAGCAGTTTACTGCCATGTTCCGCCGCAAGGCTTTTCTTCACTGGTGAGTAGAACACAGAAGCACCGCTGTGTTAAGGCCTGGCGTGGATACTGAAGTTGTCTTGTCACAGGTACACCGGTGAGGGCATGGACGAGATGGAGTTCACTGAGGCCGAGAGCAACATGAACGACCTGGTGTCCGAGTATCAGCAGTACCAGGAGGCCACCGCTGAGGAGGAGGGAGAGTTTGAAGAAGAGGGTGAAGAAGAACTGGCCTGAACAGCCATCCTGTTCGTTTTTCCTCCAACTCAACAGTTAAAATCCGACGATAATTTATAATTCTAGCCAATTAAATTGATCTTAACATTTTGCTTCATCCAAGTTTCTGTCCCACTAGAAGTGATATGCATAGATACCTGTATTTAAATCTTAACTGTTTTTGCTTAACAGGTATTTTTACCTATGAGCTGTTTTTATTGGCTTATATGTTATCTCAAAAATTTTCCAAGAAAGTTTGAGTTTTTCTGCGTGTTTTCTCATTCAGGCTGACATTGACCAAAACCATAATTTTCTTCTAAGCTGCTAGTTCTGTTTTTTTATAACTATCTTTGCTGATATCTGTTAACTTTTATTTTTCCATGTTATAGTATGGTTTCATTTATTGCTCTATAAATGAAAATGACTGTTGTTCCACTTTAATCAATTGCTGCTTTTTCTGCTCTGTTCATAGATGTATGATTAAATGTCTCATGGTTATTTAATACATATAAGTTATGAGGCGTTATTTAAAGAGTTTGTCCCGAGTGATCTCTTTTCAGGAAAAAGAAACGAAGAGCTAGAGCTTCAAGGTGCATACACAGAGTGCCTATCTTTAACAGATGCAAGTTCCGAATTCATGAACAGAAACTGAGCTTTTACTGTTATATAAAGCTGGTTCATAATTCAAATTGGACCATTAAACATACCAGGAATATGTTGTCTTTAAATGAAACTAAACTCTGGTTTCTAAATTAATATTAAATAAATTTTAAAAATTCTGTTATTAAAGGAAAACCTGTAGTTTAAAAGTGGAAAGAAATCCTCTTTTTTGCCTGATATCAGCTGTGGAGACAGCAATAGAGCTGTCTCCAGTAAAATGTTGCCGTCTCCTCCCTGAGTTCCACACCTGACACTGATTGCTTGTGTTCCTGCTGAACCTGCTCTTGAGGGTGGTGGCTTCCAGCAGCGGTAACCGTTAAAGCATGTGATCACCATTGCCTGCCAGCACCTCTAAGCTAAACATGCATGTGAAAAACATGGGGTGGGACACCATGCTACCATCTCTCAAAGCTGAGTCCTTTGAATCACTTTCCATATAAAGCATTGACCATCGCTGAAGTAGCTCTGCGTAAAATAGATCTGCAACTCTGGAGTTAGCATGAGTTGTTTTTAGTTTATTTTTGTTTTTGGAATATTGACCTGTGCTTCTTCACATCACCTCTAAATGTAGCTGCACTTGGCTCATCCTGAAGGAGAGAATGAAGTTTAGACACAGTCCTAAAAAATCTATACCTTCATAACCTGGCTTCATAATTTGCAGGAATTATTAGGTTAAACTTTTAAAGTTCCATGCTTCATGGAGGTTTTGCTTTATAGCAAGACCACCAATTGAAATATTTAGCAAACTTCTCACAACAACAAGGGAAGAAAAATCTGCCATCTAGCAACTTATGGTTCCTTTTTTTTTTCAATCGCAGCCTTTTTTTTTTTTTTTTTTATTATTCCTTCTTATTTGAACACCTGATTTTTTTTTTCTTCTAGATTTTATGGAAAACTTTCTAATTTCTATAACTGAATTCACTTCAATTTAGCTCAAAGCTTGGCAAGGCCTTTTGCAAACAAGCTGTATCCACATCTGTGCATTTCCTGGCTGCTACCTAAGCCACCGGCTTGATGCCACGTTTCTTTCAACTACACACCCTGGCTGCGTCTGAAATCATCTAATCTGTAAGAACTCTTTAGTCAAAGAATGTAGGAAAAGGGGCCAGTGCTTCCTATCAGCTCCTTCAGAATAGTGAACTTGTCAGGTTCCTTACAAGTCCTAAGGATCTATAAGGAATCCCACAATCCTTTGCATGACATGATGATGAAGGATAGCACACCTCACAGAAATAAACAAACATGTCTGGAGAGAAGAGAGTACTATAAGTAGTGAAATTTCTTCATGTGTGACACGTGTACACACCTTCATATGTTTTAGTTTGTGTAATTGAGAGTTCAGCTGTTCACAAGCATGTTTGTTTTGTTTTTTTTGCAAATCTATTCCAGAAGGTTGTAGTCCGAGATACAGAATGACTAGCATCACCAACTTGCCTTTCTGTTGTCTAATGATCATCCGTGAGACTAAAGGCTGTCTGGAATCAGCACATAGGAACAGGCTATCTCAAAGAGTTTAAGAAAAATAAATTATTTCTTTATGCCATATGCAACTGTATAAATTTTTCTATGCTTTGGGTTTTATAATAGAGCTCAAGTAGTTTTTTTACATTTGTGTAACTTTTTTTTATGTTGTATTTTCTGGAAGGCTGTTCTAATTTGAAAAAGATAATTTGTGTGAAGGCTTTCTAGATCCAGCACAGCAGTCTGGAGGTCCTTTCCTACCCTGGGTAGCTTTCTGACCGTGAAAGGTAAAGGCAAAGAAGGTAGGCACAGGAGGTATGAACAACAATCTGAGGAGCTTCAGTGTCCTACTTCTGGTTGACATGCAGTCAATTTCCCTGAAGGCAAGAGACAGTTGAGGAATCAGACATGCCATAGAGATTTAATGGCATCGTTGTCACCTGAATTTAAATGTTTAAGATTAGAAGAAACAACATTTATAAAGATATTGTACTACCTGTCAGTCTTAATAGGTGGCCCTTACGTTGTTGTGGTATAGTAATAAATGCTTCACTTGAATCTTATATATCAACACAGTGAATGCGGTACTGTTTAGACTCAGACTAAACGTTATTTATCCCTTAGGATTACTCTTTCAGGGAAATTCTGGTTTCAGTCGCTTATATAGAGTACAAAAAGTTAAAGCAAAATGTCACTAAAGATATAAATACAACAGACAATATAAAAAGAGTGTATATGGTACAAAAGAACATAAAAAAGTTGTAATGTCCTGGAATATGTTTCCTTTAGATATAAAAATATCTGACCAGCAGAGAGCTAAGGAAAGACTACACAGTAGTCTGTTTGGATTATTGCACTTGTTTTATTGCATGTTTAGCGTCTAACTTCGCATTTTTTTGTTTTATTCCATCCATCCATCTTCCTCCGCTTATCCGGGGTCGGGTCGCGGGGGCAGCAGCTTAAGAAGGGAGGCCCAGACTTCCCTCTCCCCAGCCAATTCTTCCAGCTCTTCAGGAGGAACCCCAAGGCGTTCCCAGGCCAGCCGAGAAACATAGTCTCTCCAGCGTGTCCTGGGTCTTCCCCGGGGCCTCCCCCCGGTGGGACGTGCCCGGAACACCTCACCAGGGAGGCGTCCAGGAGGCATCCTAAACAGATGCCCAAGCAGGGGCGGATCTAGAAAAATATTTATGGGGTGGCAAGAGGGGGGCAGGAATTTTTTAGGGGTGGCAACATATGGCATTTGTTTACACTGAATTTAATCACAGTTATCACAGTTTGGTGAGAATAGTATGTACAGTACTAATGTTTCATGTGAAAAAGTTCATATTAATAATGTTGGAGCTATTTATTCTTTATTTCTTTATTTATTTGAATTGTGTTAATTTCTAAACTTATATATTTTTTGTATTATTTACAGACTTAATTTATAGGTTAATTGTTGCATTTTTGTGCATCTATTTTTTGTTGTTTTATTATTTTTCTTTATTTTATGTAAAACAGGAAGAAATGTGGGCGGTCCACTTTCTATAATTGTAGGAGCCTGGTAAGGACCAGCAGGCATTTGGGTTAGGGGCCTATGGGTTTTTACCAGTGCAAGAGAGGTGACAGAGCAAGGAAAGTGTGAACTCTGTAATGTGACAAAATATAGGAAATAAATCAACAAAACATCTACAAGTTTGGACTTCCACTTCTTTTGCCTGCGTCAAGAAAACGTGACCCCAGTGCCTATAGTGGCTTATTGGAATTTTATTGGAAGTTTGGTTTGACAAACAATTGCCACTACACTCAAGTAAAAACCCACCTGTGGATCAAGTAAAAACACCCTGTGGAACAAGTAAGGAACCAGCCCATGGACTAAAAGGAATACCTCATCAATCAACATGCTGGATTTATGGATCTCAAGGATTCCCTTCAAACAAAAGGTTTTGGATCATCTTTGATTAAATCAAGCGACTTGATGCGTCAGACTTGGATGGACATGTCACTCATTCATCAAGCTGGTATGTGACAATATTGTTCAAGCTATAAAGGAAAATAGTGAAACTAATGGAGTTTAAGACATTATTTCACTCCAAAGACTGATGAGATGAGTCTGATGTGACAAATTGATGCGTAATTGGATCAAGCCGTGAGCCGACGCCCAACATGGAAATGTTTGTTCACAAGAATCAATCTCTTTAAACAAAGAGATACGTTTGTGCTTTTCCTTGTGGATTATTCGTGGACTATGACGCTTTAAATGTTTGAAATGATTCAAAGAATCTGCAAAAATGTCTGATGTAAAGAGCAAAGAGGATGACACCCAGACGTCACAAAACAAAAGAACCATCAAATTTACACAAAAGGGTTTGGAGTTTTATATAAAAACATGTCAAGAAAAACGAAGTTTAAAGTGTAAACAAGCTTCAAAATGTATGGAGAAAATCTCTGCATTAATGAGCTCACAAGAAAATGTTAAGAAAGTGGCTTCTGACTTTGCAAAGTTTATTAAATGCTATCAAGAAGCAACTGATTTACACGAATCACTTTTAGGTTTGCCGTTGCCAGAAGAAGAAGTAAAAAGACAAACTGTGTACAGGTGCTGGTCATAAAATTAGAATATCATGAAAAAGTAGATTGATTTCAGTAATTCCATTTAAAAAGTGAAACTTGTATATTATATTCATACATTACATACAAACTCATATATTTCAGATGTTTATTTTGTTTAATTTTGATGATTACAAATGACAACAAATGAAAATCTCAAATTCATCATATCAGAAAATTAGAATATTGTGAAAAGGTTCAAAATTGATGGCCCCTGGTGCCACACTCTAATCAGCTAATTAACTCAAACCACCTGCAAAAGCCTTTAAATGGTCTTTCAGTCTAGTTCTATAGGCTACACAATCATGGGGAAGACTGCTGACTTGACAGTTGTCCAAAAGACGACCATCGACACCTTGCACAAGGAGGGCAAGACACAAAAGGTCATCGCTAAAGAGG